GGAAGGGTTAGGAACAGAAGTAGTCAGGGTAGCATACAGACTGGCAATGGGACAGCAGATTTCATGCCAGTATAGTTTTCTCAAGGATAGGTGGAGAGCACTTTAATGAAGCAGTGGGGAAAATGCCCTGAGACTCACCAGATTTCAGTTCCCAGTTTTGTTTATAGGTCAGTGTGAGGGTGGGTTTTTTTTTGATGACACATTACAGCAGAGATGAAAACTTTTCACAATGTTTTATTTTAGCACACGCATTCTATAACAATAGGCTGTTGCCCTGGCTCTCCTAGCCCTTATACTGTAGGTTGGCTTAGCCACGTAAGCAAATCTTTGGGGCACAGTTCTTACAATTGTTAAAAATTTTAAAGTAACATACTATCTTTCCCTCCCTCCGAAAGTTCTTGCATCTGTTGGGGATTATGTGCTGCCTTAGCATGTTTACTTCTTTTACAAGCCCAGGCTATTCGGAATCAGATGGTGGACTGCCCAAAGTCCCTTACGTTTTTTCTTCCTAATAATTACGTAAGAGAAGAGCCTTCCTGAATCAGATCAGACATTTATTTGGTCTTAAATCCCACTTTAGACACCAGCCAGATGCCTCTAGGAGAATCCACAAAATGGGCTTGAAATCACAGCTTCTCCTATTGAAATCCTGAATCAGTTGGTATTCAGTGGCCTACAGTCAGTTAATCCAAGAAAACTAGGGATGAGCAAGTCTGTCCATTTCAGTTTTGCTCAGGTTTTTCATTTTTTCAAACCCTACATTCTTTCCATGCTGTTTTAGCATCTCTCCTGAAAGTGGTTTTTTTTTACCTTGGTGCTCACAAAAAGTATATACTTCTTCTTAATGTACACATTTTTGTATAACTTTTTCCTAAAGTATATATTTTATAGGCAATTTTTCCTATCATGAAATAGTTTTGATTGTCATTTCCACTAGTATAGATGCTTTTGAGTACATATTCCTATTATAAAATATTCCCATATTGCTTTACACTCTTTGTTCATAAAATTACATCATAAAATCCAGAAATGTCCACATATTAATGGAGAATATATTTTCCATTAATGTATAGATTTGGAAAGTATGCCTTAGGTAAGTTTTCATTCAAATGAAAACTAAACAATTTTTTTTTCACCCTATCAAGTATGTCTTCCATGGATTTTTCTATAGCAGTGTTCTCCATCTTGATACTTTTCAGCTGCATTGAACTACAGCTCCTAATATTCCCAGCCAATTTATCCTCATTTTAATTTTATTTCTGTAGAAGGCAGGTGTCAACACTGATCATGGATGAGCCTCCTTTCATTCACCTGGTCTATGCCCAGAATGTCATTTAACATCTATATTGAACCTCTTGCAGTATTCTTGTTAGGCTGATGATGTATGCTCTCTCTTTTCTACCATCTGCTTCTGAGAAGCTGTGCAAGTCTAAATGCAGGCTAACAAAACTTAATCCAAAAATGCATGAGAGCTCACGTTAGGAGGAATAACTGATGTAGATAGAGATGCAGATAGCTTAGGCATGCTCCTGGTGGGCTTTTTCTCCATGTTAATGGTGTGCCAATTCTGTCCTTTCCTAGTAAAGGCAGATCTTTCTTACTTTTAAATACTGTAATGGCTTCCAGATTGGAATAATGTGCTGAATATGGGGCTACTCATAAAAAGTACCTGGAAATTTACTGGCTTATGCTATAGGCTTATGATTTTGTAATTATTCAGTCATTTTTTTACTCTTTATGATCATTATTTTTCCAAGTTTATCTGACAGTAACTGCTCTTTTGAGTTTTTGTAAGCTTGTGCTTGTGTTGTCAGTGATAGTATCTAACACTTTTGTCTTCTCTTGGCCTCACTGTGGATTGCTTCCGTTTTCCAAAGCATTAGCATCTTCTTTAGTAACTTTTGTCTTTGTATTATATGCTCAAAATAGTGAAGCTTTAGCTCCATCATTAGTGCTTCTAGGGAGTGGTGTAATCTTACTTCATCTAATATTGAACGCTCTGTTCTTTTTGTGGACCAGATATTCTCAGCTTTTTCTCCAGCACCACAGTTTAAAGGCATTAGTACAATATCATCAGTTTGGGCTTCCAATTTGTTTCTGATCTCATTCCTTGTGCTATTCTCAAGAGACATCAAGCTATCTACTGCATTGCTTACATTCAGGTGTCTGAAATGATCTGCTCTGAATGTACATTTTGTGATCCTGCTCATTGGTCTTGATTTTTCTTGGCTGCTGTTTAATGTTTTGCTTCTGAATTATGCTTTCCTTTTTAAAATATTTTGGGGATATGTGTGTGTGTGTGTGTGTGTATGTATGTATATATATGTATGTGTGTGTGTATGTATGTATGTGTGTGTGTGTATGTATGTATATATATGTATGTGTGTGTGTATGTGTGTGTGTGTATATATATCACAACACAACTTCTGTCCCCAAAACCTATGAGAGAGAGAGAGAGAGAGAGAGAGAGAGAGAGAGAGAGAGAGA